CCGAGGTGCGGGGCGCGCGCCGTAGCGCCCGCCGCCCCCGGTTCCCGGGTCCCGCCCCGCTCGATCTCACGCGGCACGGCTCGGGGTTGCACCTGCGGACGAGCGCGTTGCGGCCCCGTCGGTCTCTCAAGCGCGACCGTCGCGGTCCCCGGCGCTCCTGCAGCGCCTAGGATGTGCCGCCTCCCAGTTCCCCGGGCGGGCCGGCACCGCCGCCCTGCGGGGCAGGCCTAATTACATTTCACAGAGAGGAAGTTCGCGGGAGGCACAGAGAGATTAGGTAATGTAAGGCCACACAGCCAATTAAAAGGAAATGTTTACTGTTTCATAGTGGCAAATGAATTTTCCGTGGGAATCCTTTGTTTTGATTGTATTTTCGGAGCACATTTGCCTGGTGTGTGAATTCACATTTAGAGATTGAGGATCTCCTTTCCTTCCATCTGTGTCTCCTGCGGACCTGGGCATCCCTTGCTGAAAGAATGCGAAGTAGTTCTGAGAAAAAGAGGGGCGGGTGGGGGTGGGGGTGAGACGTGACCCTTGACTGCCCAAGGTCCTGAAACCGCTTGCTTGGTAACTGAAATACCCTTTTCATTTGCAGGTGTGAAAAGAACCAGGAAGCTTTTGATTTTAAATCGCAGCCAATATAATTCTGAACTGGCAGCATAATTTTCAACGGCCCCTGCCTGGAACCCGGACCTACTAATTTCTGTGACTAAGGTCTCTTTTGTTTTCTCACCCTATCTTTTGTCCTTTTCTGCGCTCTCTGATTTCTCTTGGGAAGGTCCCAGCTTTCAAAAGGCAAGGTTAACAGCCTATGAAGTCCCACTCTGTTGTCTTTACCCACGGGCACAGGGCAGACAGTGGCGGGTCGGTAGGGGGAATGAAGTTCCTTGTGAACCACTGAATAGAGGAGAGGTGGAACAAGCGCAGACAGCTTTCTTGGCTTTGTTTTTGTGAAGTTCAAAAGTGATTTTAAAGTATCTGAATCAGCATCTTTAGTTTTCTAAACTAGTAGGAGGGGGTGGATATAAAGAGAAAGATAATTCTGAGGCTGTGTTTCAACAAAGGTGTGTGATGATATTTCAGAACTGTCCAGGAGCCACAGCTGCATGCATCAGAGCTGCGGTTGTTTTTCTTTCTTTCTTTTTTTTTTATTTAAAAATATTGTTTTTTGGAGCCGCCTACTGGCAGCCAAAACCAACTGAAAAGCGCTATTCTTTGGCTCATAGAACCAGAGCTGAGGCTGGAAGGAACCTGAGAGATCCTGTATAGAGAAAAGCAAGGGATTGGAATCAAACAGGTTCATGCTCTAATGCTGGCTGCACCTGTGCTTGGGTCTGTCACTTTTGAGCAAGTTAATTTCTGAGCCTCAGTTTCCTCATCAGTAAAATGGGACAAATAAATATTCAGAGTCCCAGTCACATATAAATACTCAGTACATGGTAGCTGTAATTATTATAGGAACATTTTACAGGTAAAGAAACTTGGCCCCGAAGATGCTGACCGACTTGCTCATGTTCCCACAGCTGGCCTGCAGTGAACCCGTAGTTAATATTTACTGAATGCCTGCCATGTGCCAGGCACTGCTGTGACTGCTATACACTTAATCCTGATGTTGGCACTAAGAAGTAGGCTTTGTAGTTATCATTCGTGTATAAGGACAGAAAACTAGAGCCCCACAAGGTTACTAAGTAACCTCAAGTTCACACAGTCTGCAGCTGAGGAGCTGAGATGTCTGATCCCACAGGCTTCCTACAGGGCTGGCCCACAGAACATTCATACTCTTGGGATAATATGAAAAAAACACTAACGACAAATGTTAAGTAACAAAGCATAGGTTACAAGTTGTGCTTTCCCTAGACTACAACTTTAATAAAAAGAAACATGGAAAACTAGAAGAAAATGAGCCAGTATACTGTAATGGCTGTAACAATGACTGTAACAAAGCGATAAGATAATAATTGTTTTCCTTGTATTTTTAGACCTTCTCTAATGTGGCATTTTCAATTTACAGTGAGAAAGATGTAGTTTACTTTTGAAAGGGGGGTGCAGATATGTTCTGAGCCCAGCAGGAGAGGGCAAATCTGCCTTCTGGAAATGCCTGGGCCCTGACACTTCAATTCTTTGCAGCCCGAGCTCGAGGGTGTCTCAGATCACATTCATCGTAGGGAATTTGTACTGTACATGATGTATCTTGCTTCTTTTTTTCCCATTCACCTCCCCTCCTCAGTCCCTCTTCCCCTCCTTATTTACAAAAGACACTTTTTGGCCACCAAGTTTTTCTGATACTCCAGCATGCATACATACAGCCTCTCAACTCAGATGCTAAATTCTCATTGAGAAAAACTTGATTGAATTTAGATGTCATAAAGTTTACAGCTGAAAAAGTAGATTCATAGGGGCTGGGGATTTAGCTCAGGGGCACAGCGCCTGTCTGGCAAGCGCGAGGTCATGAGTTCAATTCCTGGTACCGGGAAAAAAAAAAAAAAAAGAAAGAAAAAGTAGATTCATATACCTTTATTGTTTCAAACATACTTGAGCATTTTTTAAAATCTGACTCAGTTACTTTTTTTTCAGGACTAGGAATTGAACCCAGGGCCTTCACACCAAACTACTTCCCAAGCCCTTTTTTTATTTTGAAATAATCTTGCTAAGTTTCCCAGGCTACCAGAGCACTGGGGTTACAGATATGCACCACTGTGCCCAGCTTCACCTTTTAAATTTAAATAGATTAAAATTTAAAATGCAGTGTCTTGCTCACACATCTCTGTGCTCACTTACCTAACAGGTCTGGCAGCCACCTCCCTGGGCAGCGTTAGTGGGTGGGGGTCTCTCCAGCAGCTCCCTGTCCTTTGTGATACCTACAGAAAGCAGGGCTGAAGGAAGTTGTGTAGTGAGTCTGACCTCACGTCTTCACTGTGCTAGACATTTGTGGGGACTGCCTAGAGGCAGTCCTACGTGGTGCACCCATTTTTGTGCCGGTGAGACAGGCTCAGAAAGGCTAAACTGTTTAGTTCCAGCCACCTGTCTCAGAAACCAGAGGCAGAGCTTCCGATGCTCCCTAGGCCAGCGCTCCTCCACCCTTCCCCAGACTCCATTCTGTATCCCTACCACAGGACCTGGGAGGTTGTCATGTCAGTACCAGCTGTGACTCCGCAGGGCTTCTGCACTCTGCCCAGCCAAGGTTGGGCCGATGCAGAGAGATGGATTGGCTGGAGGCTGCCTCTGACCTCAGGAGACCAAGAGCCCTGCCTTGTGCCGAGAGCCCTTCGGGGCAGCTTTGCCAGCAGCAATCCTGGATGTCCTGGCACCAGCTGGCTTCTACTGCACAGGCTGGAGCTGTAACCAGAGGGGCAGCTTGCATTTGAGAACCTGAAGCTGCCCCAGCTGCAGTGGCCTGGCAGTGTTTCCTGTACTGTGGCTGCTATTCATCTGGCCTCAACTCCCGTGCCTTGCCCTTAGGTGGCATCACAGGCAGAGGACAAGGTGCATATTCAAGACAAGTGAAGGGTCCCACCCAGTGGCCCCAGTTACTTAGCTGAGACAGGGCCAGAGTCCAGCCTTGTGCTCTGGAAAAGGGAATAATTCTCTCAGCTCTCAGTGGATGCAGAATGAGACAAGGTTTTGAAGATATCTTTTTCCCTCCTAGCCGACACACTCAAAACCCTTTGCTTACATCAGACCTTGAGATGACTCGTCTGCTGGGAAACAGCTGTCACCCCACCGTAGGGCCACGAACTGCACAGCTTACTCCTCTAATTTCTCTTACATGGACCAGAAAGCTGAATTTGAATTCTCCTACTAGAGGTCCAGCTGTCATGAGTTGGCTTTGGTGCTTTTCAGAGGGTTTCAGAAAGTCTGGTTATGCAAGCGATACTTCCTGTTTACCTGCCTTTAATAATTAATGGCTGAAGATGGCTTGTGACACAAAGTGTCCTGATGGCGTTTATCTTGAGATGTTTAACTCTTGTAGTTGTGTGCCAAACAACTGGAGCAGTCCAGTTTATATACAGATAACAAAGCAGGCGCTTCAGCAGCTGCATGCCTCAAGTACTTCACTAGCTGGAGATGACTACTTTGAAAGTGAAGGAGCCTGAAGTTACAGATCTGGAGCTGATGCTTGTGATAAGAAGTGACTAGGGCTGGCACGGTGGCACTTGCCTGTAATTCCAGCTACTTGGGAGGCTAAGGAAGGGTGATCCCTAAGGCCTCAGTGGCATAAGCATCTGCCAGGAAGGATGATCCCAAATTGGAGGTCAGCCTGGGCAAGTTAGCGAGACCCTGTGGAAAGTTAGAAAAAGGAATAGGGATATACTCGGTGCAGCACTTGGCTAGCACGTGTGAAGCCCTGGGTTCAATTCCCCAGCGGTGCGGGGGGGAAAAGTGCTTAGTGAAATGCTTCCCATCATCCCTGGGTGAACTCATCCCATCTTACAAATTTCTGGCCCTGCCTTTTTGTGAATAGTTCCCAAATCTGTGCTTCCAGCTATCCCTAAATCCAGCTGCTTACTAGAATCTGCACCTGCGTTTTCATCGTTTTCTCCAAATGCACTCATTCAGGGCCCAACGCATACTTTCTGCAGTTTTCTTAGTCTCCTAAATGGTCTCACCCTCCCTTTGGTGACCAAGCCCGGAACTTGGGTTTCCTGAGATTTTCCTCCCCTTAACTTCTGCTCTTAAAGACCTTGCAGGATCCAGTTCCTACTCAGCCTTCAGCTTGCTCCTGGGACCCTCTGTCTGGTTCTGGAGCCATACAGAAGGCATCATGTTCTTGTCTGCAGGATTTGTAACAGTCCCTCTGCCTGCCCTCTATTTCTGAGCGCAGCCCCTCAAGGTTAAAGCCACTTACTGCAGTGGTGCAAACAGCAAGGTCTGAGAACCATTCATTTCTCCCATGGCATTCACTCCACTGGGTGGCTCCACCTGCCATGGGAGGACCTTGTTCACTGCTCTCTCCCCAGTGCTGAGCACCAGCCCTGATGCATTCAAGTGCTCGGTGTGCTGATCAGCTCATTGCCTGCACTGTCCAATTAAGAGTGGGATCAGGGAGTTGGATCTGGACAGGACCTGGGTGGTTGAATACAGTACGGTTTGGGAGGTGGTTTGGGCTGTCTTGGAAAGACAGCAGGTTGACTTAACTAGGATGAGAGCGGTGCAGCCACAGTCCACAGGACTTGCTGGTAGGTTGCAGGAGGGCCTGGGTGGGCAGCAAAGGGGTGGGTGGGGAGCAGCAGAAGGACTCAAGGGTAAACTCCTTGGTTTCCTGCCCAAATAACTAACTGCTGGGGGTCGCTGCTGCTGTTTACCTAAGAAGGAACAGTGGGCAGGGCATGTGAGTAAGTCTGTGGAGGAATCATGAAAAATTCTTTCTGATATTTGTTCAGTGTGGTATGCTATCAGGTAACAAGGCAGAAATGGATATTGTGAATCTGGAACTCTGTGATAAGACCAAGCAAGCTGCAGTTTGTCATTTAGAATTCAGCAGAACTCCCAGAGGTGGGAGCTTTTGCTAGCTAAAGTCATGCACCTTCCTCTAAACCTTATAGCCAGTAAGCAGCAGAGCCAGGATTTGAACCCTAGCCACTAGCAGCTCCAGCATCCACCTGCTAAGCCACACAAGGAACAGCGTTTCACAGTCCTAGTCACTGCCCGGCTCAGCCTTCTGTAGTGTACAGTCTCCATGGCAGCACTGCGCTGAAGACCAAAGTATGCTGTCCTTGTCGATTTAAGTGTACACTATTTAGGGATGCTTAAAGTCAGAAACAGGAAGTACAGAATAGAGGGGAAATGAGGGCCTGGCACAGTGGTGGTGCCCAAGCATTACTGCCAATTCACTTGGAATGAATGTCATATAGCAAGACCATTAATCTGTAGTCTTTGCCCCTCTACTACAGAAAACAGGTACTGAGATTGAAATAGATTATTCAGATTCATAAAAGCGTACATGTGAACAAATCTAGCTCCGTCCCTTTTATTTCATATTTCAAAGTATTTACAGGTTGCATATGAGTACTTGATTCCCAGTGTTTTAGCAAAGCTGTTGCATGTCTCTGGAATTCCTATAGGAATCAAACATAGGCAGCTGTAGTGTAGGCTAAGGCATATGCTTTCTTCTAAGGGGATGTGTGTGTGTACTTACAAAAGGTAAACATTTGCTGATGTGAAATAACCTTATTTTTCTGTTTTATTTTAGGGCTAATGACCGAAGCTGAATTAAGTTGCTTTTCACTGAGGTTGAATTAAGCACCCTGTGCACTTTAATTTCCTGCCTGTGCCATCCGGCCAACTGAAGGCAGGGTTCTGAAACTCAGCTATAAGGACATCCAGCCAAAGTTTCATTCTTGCCTTAACAATGTTCCAGAGGCTGAATAAAATGTTTGTGGGTGAAGTCAATATCACTTCTAACCAAGAACCAGAATTTAGTGAAAAAGAAGATGATGAATGGATTCTTGTTGACTTCATAGGTAAGATACACTCAGTGGTTAATCTTAACAATATAAGTAGAGCTCTTGCGTGTCTTTTCTTTTTTAACGTAAGTAAATCAGTAACTGAAGGTTTTTAAACCCTAAAAGTACACAAACAAGAATTTGTCGTTTTAAACAAATATTCAGTTTGGGGCTGAGACAGGAGGATTACAAATCCAGACCCAGCCTAAGCAACTTAGCAAGAAGCTGTCTCACAATAAAAAATAAAAAAGGGCTTAGTGCAAAGGTCCTGGGTTCAATCAGCATTGCCACACACACAAAAAAAGTAAATCAAAAAATATTTTGTGCTAGGGATGTAGCTCAGTTGTACAAGCGCTGGCATGGCAAGTGCAGGGTCCTGAATTCGATTCCCAGTATCAAAAAAAAAAAAAAAAAGAAATATTTTGTGCCAGATGATCAGAGAAATTGATGTCAGATTTTCCAGTTTTGCAACTCATACCACATGACCCAGCCAAAGGTACTTTAGTGGAAAACCTTCATATTAGGTAATCAGTAACCCATATGGATCATTGGGTTTACTGGGCAGAACAGAAAGTCCTAAAGCCATTCCTATAAAGTGATGGTAGTCTGCCCACCCCCAGACACAGTGCTAGGGAACTATTTTATAATGGCTGTGAGTGAATATAAAGGGTCTTGTTTCTGACCTAAAGGGAAGAATGTATCAGCTAACAGTATTGTCTCTCTTTTCTCTCTGCTGTGAATTTGATGGTGGCTCTGCTGTAACCATCTGATGTGCTTATCATCCTTCTGTGGAACCCATTCTGCACATGGGAACTGTCATCTGGAACTTGATCTAGATACTTGCACTGGTTTCTCAGCAGAGGAAGAAGAAGAAGAAGAAGAAGAAGAAGAAGAAGAAGAAGAAGAAGAAGAAGAAGAAGAAAATGACATCACTCAAGAGTCACCTACAGAGCACCCTTCAGTCTTTTCCTGTTTACCTGCAACTTTGGAGTGCTTGGCTGATACGAGTGATTCCTGCTTCCTCCAGTTTGAGTCCTGTCCCATGGAGGAGAGCTGGTTTATCACCCCTCCCCCATGTTTCACTGCAGGTGGATTAACCACTATCAAGGTGGAAACAAGTCCTATGGAAAACCTTCTCATCGAACATCCCAGCATGTCTGTCTATGCTGTGCACAACTCCTGCCCTGGCCTCAGTGAGGCCAGCTGTGGGACCAATGAGTTCCATAACCCAAGCAGTCCCAGGTACATTGCAAGTATATGCTCTCTCCACAGGCAGTCTCCTGAGCATGCATTTTGTGTATTTGTGCTGTACTTCAAAACTCTGTTTTTAGAAGATGCAAAACTAGTCTTGACAAAAAAAAAGTCTTGACAGAGATTTATGAAAGCTTGTGCTTACTACACAGGTGATCAATGGCACAAAAATTTACTCATTTTAGATTTTTTTGAAGTTAGTTATAGTATGACCCCATTGATATATTAGAGAGCTGTGCCATTTATTTTCTGCTCCTGAAGGGAAATAAGACTGGCATTTCTGCTAAGAATTTTAGAGTATAATTCTGGCATGCTATAGACTAGAATATTTAGGGTAGCAAACTGAGGGAGAATAGTATATCTCAAAACTCTTTCTCCCAGGTATTGCTAGTGATCACACTAAATACTGCTGAACCTTGAAAGCATTAGAAATTTTTAGTGTAAAGTAAAAGGGCAGTTTACAGATGAAAACATTTGCTTAAAGAGCTGTCTCTTACCTCACAGAGGAAAGATTTCACACCAACATGATGTGTGTTGGTGTGCAGGCGTCTTAAGCGCTCTGTCCGCAGCTGGTAAGGCAGAGCCTAGGAAGTTCACAGACGGTGTTAGTGAATGAAGACTGGCGTTTTCAAATGAACTTCCAGATCTTCTGTGACCTTATCCAGAGAACAAACCCAGGGCATAGATCCGAGATTGCCCCCCCTTCTAAAATAAAGCCCCATCACCATGTTCACTAGCTCAGAGTCCAGCTAGTCCATCCTGCCCTTCTTCAGCAGACAGTTCTGTGTGGTGTTGGGGGCATTTGGGGGATGCTGGTACCAATTTAATTCCCTCTCACAGGCAAAGGGTCCAGGTGAATGTGGATTCTTTGTAGCAGTTCAGAAAACTTTGATGAGCACTGTCAGGGGAAGAAGTGCTGTGGATCATCCAGGCTGACTCCACTAATAGACCATTGTATATATCTTCTATTTCCTGTTTGCCAGACGTAAACAAGGCCAGGCAGCTCTTTAACTCACTCAAGTGAGTTTGTTGTACTCGCAAGTCTCAATATTATAAGTGCTCTTTTACAAGGCTAAACATTTTTGTGTTTCATTTTGCTTATGCCAAAACAAAACACAATATGCTAATATAGTTATATGGTGCCAGGCTGTAGACTAGGTAAGATCTTTGGTGGAATAAAGCACTTTATTCACCCCATGCTTTACCACAAGATCAGTCTTTGAAGCATCCCAACAAAAATTTAAAATACAGCTTTTTGGAGGTGGTATTAATTGCTTTACAGTTAACTTTAATTTCTTCAGTTCTTAAAAATTCTTCCCCCTTGAGTCTTATCTTGCTTCTGAGGAACTGCACTCCAGAATTTAGCAAGATTAATACTCTCCGCTTGCTGGCATTGATACATTTTTTAGTGTTGAAAGTACATATGTATGTCTGTGTAGACAGCTTTGCAAAATAACATAGAAGCAGTTCATGTGCCTTGCAGAAAATGCATATGCAGAAATTTTAAAATCTGAAATGGCATTCTCATGACCCAGGGATGAATACTGTTATCATCTGTCTAGGTTCCAGGTTGTGTTTTTCTGTATATGCCCATACCTCCACACCCACACCTTTAATCCAAACAGAATCACGCTTTATTATACTATTCGATAATCTGCTTATTGAGGAGGTGATCTCCACCATTTTGCTTTAGTAAATTTTTAGTAGCTAGGCCAGGCATGGTGGCACACACCTGTAATCCCAACACTTGGGAGGCTGAGGCAGGAGGATTGTTGCGAGTTGGAGAGCAGCCTGGGCCTCAAAGTGAGCTCAAGGCCGGCCTGAACTGCATAGTGAGGCCCTATCTCAAAAATAAATAAATAAAGTAAGTTACCTTCATGGAAATTATTACTACCCAAATCATACTCACATTTTCCTAATAGAGCCTAGAATATTTCATCAAGTTTGTCTAACACAGGATCTAGTCCATGACCACATGTATCTACTTGTTATGTGTTTGCAATTTTGATGCACTGAGGCTATTTTTGTATCGTTTGTGTTTGCAATCATATATTGCAGATCTACAAGATAAGCCAGGCTTGGTTGCACACGCTGGTTATTCCAGCACTCTTGGAGGCTGAGGCAGAAGGATCATGAGTTCCATCCCAGCCCAGCCAATTTAGTAACTTAGCAAGACCCTGCTTCAAAATAAAAGTATTTTCAAAAGGAATGGGAATGGAGCTCAGTGTGATGCTCTGGGCTTAATCCGCAGTACCACAAAACAAACAAACCCACAGAAGATAAACCAATACAGGCATTCTTCCATAAATGAAGTATCCAGAGAGTATACTGAACTTTATGAGTTCTTTCTGCACATAGGAAAATCCTGTAAATTCTTATAATTTTATCATGCTAACTAAAAAATATTTAAATATCCTTATTTTTACACTTGAAATTCTTTTAAGGGTGGTTCACTATGTCAAGATAGAATCAGGTGTTACCAAAATTAGAAAGCTAGCTATTTAATAAACATCTACATTTTCTAGGGGCTGAGGATGTAGCTAAATGGTAGTGTGCTTGCCTAGCATCAACAAGACCCTAAGTTTTACCCCAGCACCACCAAAAAGAACAAAAAAAAAAGTATGTTTCTAAGCAGGGCAATAAACCATGTCTTTTAAAAGTTAAATTGCTTTCATCCTATCTGTCCTCAGGAGTGTTACCAGAAAGTATATAAAAAGTAAGGTGCTTCTTAAAGACAGTGGGTTTTGGAGTGTGTGTTTTATTGCATTTTAGCCTTTATAAATATTGTGTGTGAAGGTTTATAAGCTATCATAATCTTAAGTAAGATATGTTCCTTTAATGTCCCATAGTAAATCAATATTAATAAAACAGAGTTGACCACATCCTAACAGTAAAGTTAAATAGCGTTTTAAATCTTACTAGTGATTTAATAGTTCACCATTTAACATTTGTAGGGCCAGGAAAAGCTGCTTATAAGAATCTCGGGCACAGAGTAAGTATATTCACTTTGAGACCGCGGGATCCGTGTTACCAGTCTGCACAGGGAGGCTAGGGACTCCAATACCCACCTCTTCAATAAGCGTTTTCCTTATGTTAACTTCTGGTTAATATGCAAGTTTCTCTCTCTCTCTCTCTCTCTCTCTGTCTCTCTCTTTATTTTAGTTTTATTGTTTTTGGCAGTGCTGGGGATGAACCCAGGGCCTTGTATCTGCTAGGCAAGCTCTCCACCATGGAGCAAGAGCCCTAGCCTTGTGTTTGTTCCTTAGTGGGACTTGTTTAAGTTTCTTAATGAGACTGTTGTACTAATACTTAAAAGAATGAAAGAGAAGTATTTTCCTCACATGATTGTAGGCAGAAGATCCAGTTGCCCTTCTTGTGTAAAATAACCCTTAAAAGTCTTAAAACTTGGTCTGGGGATGTAGTTCATTGAGAGAGCATTTATCTAGCACATGCAAGGCCCTGGATTTAATCCCTACACTGAGAGGGGGAAAAAAAGTCTTAAAATTCTGCATGTTATGTGTTAATAATAGTTTAGATCAGCTTTACTTGACTGGCTCTTAATATAGAAGTCATAAAATAATATACTGTATAGCTCAACTTTAAGATTATGTGTTCTGCAAGGGTTTTTAAACATTGCCATGTAAGTGCCATTCTAAAATGTGCCATAAATAAAAACTTAAGAGCTGTCTTGTAAGATAAGCCTCTTTCCTAGAAAAATACTAGGTCACAATTTCTTTGTGTACATTTGTATTAAATTTATATTTGAAACATGTTTACTAGAACATTTTACTTGTAGCCAAAGAATCTGTGAAGGTGCCTTTGGTACAATGCTTTCTGATCAGTAGAATTTGGGAATTAAAATACTTTCCCTTTTTAAGATTATGGTGAGAATGAAATAGGTAATATTTGCAAGAGTCTTGGCAAATGCAGATATTCAATAAATACTATTATAGAAAATCTTACGTAAATCCACTCAGCGTAGAAAGCGTATTTTTAGAATACAGTCTACTGGGCCACCTGTGGACTCTGCCTGACTAAGGAAAGCGGGCATCTTTCCAGCACAGTTAGTCAGTGCAGTCACAGAATTTAAACTTTTCAGCCAGGGCCGGGGATACAGCTCAGTGGCATAAGCACTTGCCTGGCAAGCCTGAGGTCATGAGTTTGATTCCTGGTACCAAAACAAAAAAAACTTATCAGCCAGGAGACCCTGAAGTTCTCATCCAGTTGTGAACAAGTTAGTGTGGCAAACAGAATTGTTAAGTGACTTTCCAGTTTCCTTAGTAACACACTCTGCTCTTTAATACTTCCCGTTCTTTTCTGTTTCAGAACGGAAGCCCAAAGCGAAATGGGACAACACATTCACTGCTATGTCGCAGCTCTTGCCGCTCACACAACTTTTCTGGAACAGCCCAAGAGCTTTCGTCCTTCCCAGTGGATAAAAGAACACAGTGAAAGACAGTCTCTGAGCAGAAATAGCCTTCGTCGCCAAAATCTTACCAGGGATTGCCACTCTCGGCAAGTCAAGCACAACGGCTGGGTCGTCCACCAGCCCTGCCCACGTCAGTACAATTACTAAGAACTTCCGAGTTTTGCTGGTTGGTTTTTGCAGATGTGTGTGGATGTGTGTGGATGTACAGTGAAAATGCTGTCTCTTTACAGCCAGTTGTGACCAATCACTTAGTTTGTCAGTGTGTTTAGACACGATCTTAAAACCCAGATTTCTATGCTGTATACCACCTAATGCCTTGCTCCTAACATGTACTTTTTTGTAAGTTTTTGCAGAATATTTTTGGAAACATATCAATACAGTTACAGTGTTTGGTGTTTGGGGATGTCTTTATTAAAGCGTAGATGAGTTAGCATTTTAAAGACATTTCTTCCCCCCAAGTATGGGAACAGGCATCTTTCTACTTCATTTTGTATTACTTAATCTATCTTTTGAGTAAGCAAAATTTATTCTCAGGGTCATCCATACACTTTATTGACCAGTACTTGATAATCTTTTCTGTATATAATGAATAATTTTTACACACTAACATGAGCATTAACAGGTAATATTTGCCATGGATATAATGGAATTATGGCTGGACTTCCTTTTGAAAGAAAACTTGATATATTTCTGTGTGTGATTTTTTTTTTTCCAGATAAGTCATTCAGTTCATTGTGGAATTCAGGTACATTACGCTTTAGTGAACAGTGCATTCAGTAATTCCAATGTGACTGTGTGACGTGGTACAAATATCGTAGGTGTCACAGACAAAAGCACTTGTCTTACATGCACAGGGAAGAGATGAGGCCTGTGAAATTATATTTGGAAAAATTCATGTCTATAAGTGACCCGTTGGTCCAGTATTTATTCTTCCCTGCCAGCTCTGTCCAGTCCCCCTCACCATCAGCTATAAATTGAACAGTGCTTGAGCCGGCAGGCACTTGAGTGACTTCATATGTATCTGCTCACCGGAAGAGAGACAGTGAAAAATCCTCTGACATAAGCCTGGCCTAGCAAGGGGCAAGCAAGGGCGAAGGGGCATTTCTCCGGCTGTCTTTTCATAAGGCCTAAGTGAAGAGCAACAGATTGGCTTCCTTCAATCCTCATTTTTTGTTTTAACGTCAGGCAGAATCTTTAACCACTTGGGGCCTCTGTTTCCTTCACAGCAGGGGAGTCATAACACTTACCTCCCTCACAGAGTTGCAGTGAGGACTGTGTCCTGACTGGAAGTGGGCTGTCCAGACCGGACCTTGTGTGAGCTTCCAGGGGCCTTTCTACTGAACCTAGCGATGGGGCCGTGGCGGTGTTCTTCACAGTGCTGGTGCTAATGAGGCCGGGGTGCAGGGTTCAACTCACACACAGGCCAGTTGACACAGCAAAGTCCATTTCCTTACCTCTAGCCGGTCACTTCATTTTCCTGCAGTTGTGGTGGGTTTTGCTGAGCCATCCACACTCTCACCAGCTTCTCTGAAATTAATTAAACACATTCGCAGTTCAGAGCACGTCGTTGTGACCAACAGTAGCACTGCCTTTAAAACGCAGCCGCTTACTTTCCCATCTCCTCTGCAGCCCTAGTTAAGTGAGCACACATCTAGGAAGTGTTTTCAAGGAAAAAGCAGCATATAGTTACGTGAAGTATTATATTTTTCAGTAACTCTGTAACAGCTTGATGCAGGGACCTGAGACTCAGGAAGAGCTGTGCTCTTTTTCCGACCGGGGCGTTTAGAGTGAAAGGGGTCAAGCATAGTTAGATGGTGGTTTAGATTGTTCTGCTGGCTGCGATGACGAGCCAGGAAGTCTCTGTACAAGAATCTAGCTCCCCCTTTCTTTCCTTACCCCTTTTATACTGACTTCCCTTTTATTTATTTATTTTCTAAGTAGGGGCCAAGTCTGTAAAGTTTTGTTAAACTGAGAAGTTATTTGTTGCTATTTGTGTTTACTGGAGTTGTGGGATGAGGTAGTTTTCATGAAGGTGTGTATGTTTTACACTATGTCTATTTAGGGCCACACGGTGGTAACTTGAAAACAGACCAGCTAAATATCCTTGGAACCTAAGACTCTGCATACATGGGGTGTCTCTGTCTTACATTGCAGGCAAGTTGTTTGTATCTCACAAGCAATGGAAGTTCAGCCATGGGAATTTGGCAGTATGAACAGATTTGTATATAAGACTGCAATGGTCTTCTTAGAACTATTTCCCCCTCCCAGAGATTTCTTGATCCCTTACGTACATTCACATCTCTGTTATTGACTTTCTGTTCCCCTTATCTGGGCCTAATTTTTTATGCTTTATAGCTGGCAAACAAAAATTTCAGTTACCAGGATTTTTTTCAGGGTTAGGATTACACCACCTGTGATAACATGGTGTGGTTTCTGTGTCAGAGTCTAAGGTCTCCACTCAAAATTGGCAAATGTAAGAAAATGGTTACATAATTCAGTTAAAGTTCTTGGTCACTAGATGTTTATTAGGTATCTACTGTGTGTAAGACATGAGGCCAACAATCATGCAGAATGATGTTGACCTGTTAAGTATTCTTTGAAACATGGCCAAAATGCATTTTGTAAGTTGATTACTGTTTTTGTTGTTGTAACTATTAGTGGTTTACAGTGTGTTTTAGTGCACATTAAAAGCCCAACAGTGAGAACTAAGACCCCTCTGAATTCAGTAGTGCTGGCCATTTGTAAACTGATGACCTAGAATGTTACTTGGAAAAAGTCTGGAATATGTGGTGTGCACAAGCAGTGCTTCGAGAATGAGTTTGAGCTTTTACAAAGCACCACATTCCTCAAAGTTTGTGTTTTTGTTAATACAACATTATATTATGTATATCCTATGTTTATTACCTTCTCTTCCTCAGCTAATTGAAGTATGCTCTGCACTGTAAGTTGAAGGCTAGCCATCCATTATTTATCTTCTGTGGCAGTGGATTTATATGGTTGGGTGGGTGGGGAGGTTTTTGTCAAAGATGCAAAGTGATTGGATTGTTACTTCCCATTGCAGGGAGCTTTCTTTTAACATTAATTGCTTGTATATTTTTCCAATTCCCACATAAACTTCCTGTTTACATACCTTCCGTTGTATGAGTTCTTGGATTCTACCAACAAGATATAGTTTACTTAAAACTCGAGGGCTGTTCAGCATTGCTCTGTATGGCCCTTTGCTTCTCAAACCTGTGTATTACACTGGTTTGGTAAACTTTGTGTCTTTGTTGAAAGGTGAATTTCTGTGCTGTTTCTCCTTCCCTCAAGGAAACACATTCTTTATGTATTCTTAAGAAAGAATAAGGAAGGGTATTTTCCTTATCTTCATTTTCTGAGTTGGAAACAAAACTGTGCAGGACTCCAGCTAGCAGACAGACATTCCCATTTAAATGGGCCAGTGGGAAAATGTTCCAGGTATTTTTGTCTTAGAATCAGTTAAAAGACTGCTCCTTGCACCGGGAGGTACTAGTGTATGTTGGTGATATGAAAACTGGTATCAGTTAACCTCTTTATTTATTGCAGTTAACCTCTTTATTTCATGAGGCCCACGAATACTGGTTAAACTCTTTCAGAAGGTGGGCGCCCATCTGGATGGTTTCACTGCCATCAGTCATGCTGATGTATTATAAATGGCATCCTTATCTACTTATTTTAATGCTTAAAATTTTATATAAAATGCTTTATTTAGAAAACCTACATAATAGCAATGGTGTCGCCCTTGCCATGTACCAATTTCACTTAAAATCTGACACCAGTTAAAGTGGTTTAGATGGAGAAAGAGGCGGACTGGAAAGCAAACAGATAAAGGTATCTTTTCTCATTTCAATGGTATCCTTTGTGTGGGAGGGAAAGTTACAGTTCCGAAGGAGGCAGCTTAAATAGATGTTTTGTATGTCTTTGAGAATTTTAATTACATTTAAAATTTTTTATAATTATTAAATGCCCAGTTTTGTTCTGCATTTGCCTGAAGATTTAGTATTGTTTTCTAGACAGACTAGGATACAAACCAAACCAGTCCCTGGGGAGGTCTGATGTATGTGTTTTCAGGCTTGTAGTGTGTGAGTGGTTTTGTTTGGTTTTTGGTTGTGTTCTCTCCCCCTACCCAAGTTTTGAATATACTTAATAATTGTGTGTGTGTGTGTGTGTTTTAAGTGGCTTTTTTTTTCCTCAAGTAAAATTGTGAACACAGTTGCTTTCCAGGGCAGGGCATGAGTTACGGAGACTGAAGAGTATGGTCGACTGCACTATGTGCCTTCTTGGTGTGTTTCTGGACACACTTTTTTCATCAACTTGAAAAACTCAAAAGGGACACTTGGTTAGATTATATACTGTACATCAATCTATGCATAAATGGCAGCTTGTTTTCTTGAGCCACTGTCTAAATTTTTTTCTGTTTTTATAGAAATTTTTTATACTGATTGGTTCATAGATGGTCAGTTTTATACAGCGTGAACAATACAGCACTTTGCCAAAAACAAGTGTAGCATTGCTTAAACATTGTGTATTGACACCCATTCTTTGTAATCGGGTTCAGTGGTGCATTTTGCACTGCGTGAAGTTATGGTTTTTACTCTGTCAGTAAATAAAATGTCCTTTAAAGTCACACTTCGTCAGATTCTTTTATTTTTATGGTCAGTCATCTTGGAAGTACTTGCTGTTTAGTTTTGCTCTGCAAAAGATATATTTAATATGCACTTTGCTTTTTTTACCACTTGCATAAAATTAGTACATTAGGGTGTTTTTCCATCTAAAATGAGGAATCATTTAAGTGAACAAGATTTGGAGGATGGTTCCCTAACCAGTACCTTCCCCTCCAGGTAATCAGTTAGAAAACAAATACAGGGATGAGGCTGCAGCTTAGTGATAGCGTGCTTGCCTGGCAGGCCTTAAGTCCTGGGTTCAGTGCCTAGCAACACACACACACACACACACACACACACACACACACACACAGGCATGCACATCAGGCAGGGAAGGGGGAAGGAGGGAAAAATATAAAATTCAGTACAGTGTTGCTTTTTAAAGACAGCTTGGTAAATCGTCAATGAATTTTCTGCCAGATAAATGAAGATACAACCCTGCCCCACCCCCATGCTGGGGATTGAAGCCAGGGCCTCATGCACTCCAGGCAAACAGAGTACTGCTAAACTGCATCCCTAACCCCCCCCTTTTTTTTTTGTCTTTTTAAAGAGAGTAGTAAATGAGAAACAAACAAAAAATAGAGTAGTGGCAGCATACCAGTATCACGAACATAAACAAATCAAGAACTTTCAAAGTGATACAGTGTCTCCAGACAAAATAATACGAATCAGTAGTGGTTGTTACATTACATATTGCTGTCCTCAACTACACTGCTCAGATTACCAGATGTAAGAATGGAAGATTGCTCAAACCATTAAAGAGAATAAGAAAATAATTCTTCCATAAAACATTAGAGATAATACAGTTTTACTAGACAAGATAGTAGGAATTCACCATGGTAATTCCATTGCATATTGTTACCTTCAAATCAGTTGCTCCGACTCTAACCCTTTTTTATAAGATGGTCTTGCTAAATTTTGCAGGCTGTTCTTGAACTGGAGATCCTACTGCCTCAGCCTTCTGAGTAGCTGGGATCACAAGTGTGTGCACTATACCTGGCTGCAGTCTTTCTGACCTGCTTGCTCTGCTTACTCTAGCCTCAAGTCCACCTGAAGGCAGAACCTATTTCCATGCTGGAGCTCCCTAATAGCTGCTGAAGAATGATCACATCCTTGTAGGGGTCAGGGCCACGTGACACAGTCCCAAGTGCTCGTGTGGCAACGTTTTATGTGTACAGGTCAACTCTGCAATCCCCCTTCCCTACTCTTCAAGGCTCCTATGTAGGCCTGGCGTGGTAGTGCATGCCTATAGTCCTAACGCTGGGAGGCTGAAACAGAAGGATGCCAGGTTTGACTCCAGCCTGTGTAACAAGTCTATCTCAAAATTTAAAAAGGCTTGGAAGGTGGCTGAGGCTTGTCCCGCCCCCAGAGATTGCGGTTCAGTAAGCGGGACAGGGCCTGAGCCTGTGTATTTCTCACAAGGTCCCAGGTGAAGCTGCCACTGCCAGCTGAGGGAACGTGCTCGGAGATGGCTGCCCGTGCCGGCCTCATCTCTTTCACTGTGTTCTCAGGGAGAGAAGCACTTTGTGGGCCCCCGCCACTCCCACTCTTCCATTACTGCAGCAGTCACTGTGTTCCCGAAGGAAGTCATTAAGGGTACATTTGTAATGAACAAAAACATCCAGTGAAAAAAATGTATTCTCTTGTGACCATTGTGCACCAATTCACCGACTCCAATAATAGCATTTCCTTTTCTTTTAGAAATCTATTTTCTCCCTCCATGATCCACACGGTTTCTCTCGTTAGGAACTCTTCCCAGCTCTGCTGGAACTTGCGATCCAGGCCTGCTTCTCCCTGGCCACTGGGCTGGTTCAGTGTGAGGGCTGTGCCTTAGTCAGAGCCAGTGACATGCACTGAGACTTTCCGGGGCTGCCAGGAGAGAGGCTGAGCCTCATTTCCACTCGATGTGAGTAGGAAACACGTGGACCTGGAGCTGTCTTGCTCCACAAGTATGAGAAGGGAAAGGTAAGATTCGCTTGCCCTAGTGACATAATGTCATGTGTCTACCCTTGAAAATCACGCCCCTAAGCTAGTTTGGGTTGGAGTTTCTGTTGCCCGTGACGAGGCTATTGCTTTGTCTCCTTGGCTTCCAGCAGAGCAGTTACAGAGCTTTTCCTCTGACCTCCTGGAGGAGGGTTAAGGTGGACGGTCTCAGAGGAAAGAGGATGGCAGTGAGCCCCCAGGTGTGGAGCTCAGAGCAGAGGGCAGCTGAGACTAAGCAGGGACAGGAATAGGAGATATTTGTTTCCACAGCAGCTGTCACAGGTGAGAGCAGAGCCCGCCCCATGCTGGTCAGTGCAGGGCACACCTGGGACAGTGAGCACGGTGGGCAGGTATAGCGGGCTCCGCAGGGGTGCTCCGGGTGCCCCAGCCTGCAGGCAGGTGTCTAGCTGCAGCACTGAGTACAGTAATAAAGACACCCACAGAGGACTCAAACCCCAGCCCTTGAAGTCATGAGGGCTTTGCCCTCGCAAATGAGATTAACGCTTTATAACATGAAGCAGAGGCGATGGCCTGGCGCTCTCCCCTGAACCAGGGGAGGATGCAGCACAAGGGGCCATCGTGGAAGCAGAACGCAGACTTCACCAGATACCAGCCTGCCACGGTTGGATCTTGGACTTCCCAGGCTCCAGGACTGTGAGAAATCCCTTATAAGTTACCTGGACTCATGTACTGTGTTAGCAGTACGAAGAGACTAAGACATAACCTGTGACCTAGGATTTTATAATCTATGATCCAATAGCATATCATGAGTTCCATCCACATGGTTCTTAGAGTTATCACTATATATAAAATATACACACAGTGTCACCATCTGCAGTGTTACCACTATATATCAAGCTCTAACCCACAGCAGCCCTTTTTAGTTTTCATTTGGAGACCACATCCTCTAACAGCGATATGTTAACATGAGGGGCGACTTGCTGAAGTGAACAGACCATAGAACATTCTGTTTTTTAAAAAATGACGTGCTCAAAGACCTCTCCTGAATTGGGTCTACTTGAATTTTGAAACTTTCGGTTTGATTATTTTGGTCCAAGCATAGATTTCTTAATTTTTCATTGCAATCTTGGTTTTTTGTTGCTATCTTGGGTGGTTTACAGTGCTGGTGATGCAGTGAATTCCAGTCATACACAGCATCTGGAATTCTGAGCTTTCAGATCAACATGGAGAAAATCAGGCTGTCCCGCTCCATGTTACCCAGGACATTCAGCAGAAGCAAACACTGGCCAGGGGGAGACAGGATAGGGGTTCAGTGTCACCAGGAGATTCCAGCGTGGCCCTGTGAGAGGGGTAACTATCACTATGGAGGGCCAGGATGGACTAAGTGCAGCTGGAAGCAGGACAGACTCAAGCCCATGAACTCCTGGTTTCCTCTGAAAATGACAGAGCAAATCATGGGAACTGCACAAAATTGGAGTTACATTCACAAGTGTCTGACTTATTGAGAATAAACAACCAGTAACTACAGGGAACATTCAATTAGGAGTAAAGTAGCAACCATTTAAAAATACTTTTATTCAAGTAACTGCACTGATACAACTAGTGGGGTGATACTTTATTTTTAAAGTTAAGCTGGAAATAATATGTGAATGAAGGGGTAATCCTAAAAGAGAAGAATTTACTTCCTCTATAACTTGAATAAAATTTCAGTTTTTCACTGTTTTTGTTTTCTGTTTTTTGTTTTTTGTTGTTGTTTTTGGACAGAGAGGGTCTCACTTTGTAGTTTAGGCTGGTCTTAAATGCACTATGTAGCCCCGGCTGGCCTGGAACTCACAGCAATCCTGCCTCAGCCTCCCGAGTGCTGAAATTACAGGCTTGCACCACCATGCCCAGTTTTCATTAAATTCTTTTGCTGCTAAGTGATCTGACTAAAGAGAATATATCACAAAACTGCTTCAATATAACCTGGCCTAAAACTTTTAAATGTAACTTAGCTAAATTAAAATTAGTGTCACAGCCAAAGGAATGGAATAAAAAAGGAAATGCACTTTATCGGTTGGTGAGCATTTACTAAGGGCAAAACATAGGCAGTAGGTCGGAGAAAGGATGCTGGAGACATCGAGGCACAGACCCACGGGGTGTAAGCGGGGTGGAGAAAGAGGGTGGAAGGAAGGTAGAGTGGGGAGTCTCCGCGTGTGCACACCCGGGACACGGACTGAATTCGCTGCTCTGACCCTCCAGGTGGGTGCTCTTTCACACCAAAGCACAAGAATAAATTATTTTGTCAAAGAAACACCTGACAACTCTCAAGCATTATGTCCTAACAATACAGAAGTCAGTGAAGCGGTATTTTATGCAGCTATCTCACATTCTAAATACAGCCTGCCAAGTAAGGGGTAATTAAGCACGGGCCAGGCTTTACCAGTGATAAACTGAGTCTGAAACTGCAACAACAGTCTGCTGTGGGGGTATCCTTGGTGTCCTGCATCACACACACACACACACACACACACACACACACACACACACCATGCACCTGCACCTCTGGAAAGCGAGTTAGGGGAGTGGGGTGTCAGACCAGTACTCTGCTCCAAACCAAGCCTGAGTTTCCGAGGACACGAAGAGCACCTGGGTGTCAGGGTGTCTTTGTGTCCCTGGCGAGGCTGGCCCGTCAGTGGCCCTGATGAGGTTAGGCTGTGCACTTAGAAGTTCCTAGTTACTAAAATCAGGCACAATTTTATTCTGGCAAAAAAAATTACAAATACCTATCCAGAGCAAGTTTGAAGGTCTTGGGACTAAGAAACAACTTTGAAAAGAAAGTTTTGCTAATCTAAAAACACTTGGCAAGATTGGTATTTAGCAACAGGTATTGGAGAATATCCATTTGTAGCCCCAGAGATGAGCAGAAATACCTGAGGGACAAGAAGCATAAAGAGGCTTCTGCTAGGATTCTTGCACTTAAAAGATGACAAAAACAAAGTTAATGTACTTTAGATTTTTAAAGCAAAATGAATAAGTT